TGACCAAGTGGCAGCATCAATGTGCTCAAACATGGCAACAATTGTGAGGTTGGCCCAGGATCAGGCAGTCTTTTGTTCTGTTGTGCATAGGGTCACCCTGAGAGGGTACTGACTCGACGGCAGCAAACAACAACAACAAGAAGTCAGTTTCAACTCATAATGACTCTTTATAGGGTTCCTGAGGAGCAACTAGTGGATTTGAACCATTGGCCATGCAGTTAGCACTTCAATGCCTAGCCTACAGTGTCACACCAGAACTCAAAATTACTCAATATAAATATAGAACTCAACTGAGAAAAGCAATATGACTAAAGATCACCTGAAGGATATGTAATCTTGAGTATTTATGGTAAAGATAATCTAAAATTTGTCTGGATTTAACAGTTGATCTGAGAACTGTTTACATGGAACATACTGTGTTAACTCCAGATAATAATTTTATTGGATTGTGGTTTATAGAGTACCCCTGGGTTATACTAAGAAAGTCTATAATACCCTATATAATACATATATATAATCCTATAAAGTTGCTAACTGTGTTTGTGTAACAATATTGTTAATTATAGTGTTCAGTGCATTGCAGTGTTTTCTGGCTGTTTGCTTTTGGGAATTTTTTTTTTTTTTTTTGGTCTTGATTTTCAGAAATCAGAAATTATTGATATTCTCTTAAACAACTGATTTTTCTTATTAGAATTTGTAACTCATCAGTTAATCATAGTATCCCCACTGCAAAAAGCTATGAGACACGTTTGCTTTACCTTTATCATTGCTTCCTGCACACCTTGTTTTGTTCTTTGCGCATACACCTGCTTTGTCGATGTGTCATCTTTGCTCCCTTGAGCTTATCTTCATTTTAAACAATTACAAAAGGTATTAATGATGCTGAATAAATCATTTGCCAATTATAGAGCATTTCAAGTTTATAATATTTTAATTAATAGCTTATTTTTTTTCTGAGCATATATCTATGAAAAATAATAGTCCCGTGCCTAGAAACAATAATAGTCATAATTAAGTGAGGTGATTTTATAGTTATTGATATTATTGTAGTTTACATTGCTAATCCAATTCTTACAATTTTTTTATCGAGAATCATATTAAAACAAATTAATTCCTTCAAGTATCAATCCTATTCCACCACTACCATCAAAGAAAGTATTTCTTCTACACTTCATAAAATCTCCTTTTGTATATTTTCTGAGCATATATGATAATTATTTGATATTTTGGTTGTCTCCTCCTGTTCTTTGTGTCTCATAATCCTAACACAAGTTCCATCATAAATCCCTAGCTAATGTTTTCTGAACGGCAAATACAGGTAATAGATTAGATTGAATCTGAAATTTGAAATGTCATATATCTTCAACATGCTGAAGACACAGAGTTAGAATAGTTCCATAAAAGAAATCGTTGGAGTTAATCTTAAGTGTGGAGTCCTGGTGTGGTGCTGTGGGTTAATGCGCTGGATTGCAAGGCCAGACGTTCAAACTCACCAGTCACTCCTCAGATCAGGAATGGGCACAAATTTTTGTTATGGTGTTGGAGGAGAATATTGAAAGTGCCACGGGCTACCAAAAGAACCAACAGATCTGTGCTGGAAGAAATGCAGCCAGAGTGCTCCTTGGAGGCCAAGATGGCCAAACTTCGTCTCTTATACTTCGGACGTATTGTCAGGAGGGACCAGTCACAGGAGAAGAATATTATGTTTGGTAAAGTGGAGGGTCAGAGAAAAAGAGGAAGACCCCCCAATGAGATGGATTGGTCAAGTGGCAGCATCAATGGACTCAAGCGTGGCAACGGTAGTGAGGTTGGCCCAGGATCGGGCAGTGTTTTGTTCTGCTGTGCATGAGGTCACTATGAGTCAGTACCGACTTGATGACATCTAACAACAACAACAATGGTTGGGAACCAAATTGACAGCACTTAACAACAACAACAAAACAAATCATAAGGGCATAGAGTTTGTAGCCCTGAGAATGACAGGTTACTTTATTCAATTATTGGTAATATAAAGACTTAAAAAAAAAAAAATTAATTAAAAAAAAAAAGATTTAAATTAGTTTTAAAATATTACAAAATTTGATTTGGAATGTAGTGGGAGCAGGTGCTAACTACCTAATACTATTCAATATCCAATGTAAAATGTTGTTGTTGTTGTCAGGTGCCATCGAGTCGGAACCGACTCATACCGAACCCATGCAATGATATCGCTCGTTCTATGCCCTCTTCTGAATCCAGCTTGAACCTCTGGAACTTCTCTGTCAATGTATGACTGTAGCCGTTTCTGTACTACCTTTAGCAAAACTTTGCTCACTTGAGATATCAAAGAGATTGTCCGATGATTTCCGCATTCTGTTGGGTCACCTCTCTTTGGAATGGGTATAAACATTGATCTCTTCCA